CAGAACATATTTATTATTTCGAACACTCTTTGGTGACTTTCATGTCACGTCACATCATGATGACTGTTAGAACTGTGTTAGAGGACAGTGACGCCGACGATCATGACTACTGCCACAATAAGCAACGTGTCAGTGATGACGCACTCTATCTCCAACCCTTACCCTAAATTATGAAATATGGTTTGTTGTGCCGGTGCAACCAGCTGCCAATCTTAGAGCGTTAGACTTCAGCAGAGCCGTTCCGTAGAAAACAGGACGTCAACTACCTCTGAGTAGAGGAGAATTCTTCATCATAAATTGGGACGGAGTGAGGCGACTGGTCTGTAAAGATGTTTCTTGAAAACTGTAGGAACTGCCATCAGACGGCTAAACGTCATTCGCTATAACAGTACTAGATGTTGGGCCCGGACATCCACCGATTCACTAGGTATTGTGCCGAATTGCCGATCTAAGGCACATAAGTTGTACCGCGTGGCCGTATGTCTCATATGCTCTGACGTGACCCCATTAGAACTCTGTGTGGTACATATTATTTGAAGGTAAATGCCTAGCTACTAATCTCACGTTGGAAAAGCAAACCGAAGCGAAGCGATATGAATTCTTTCCTCAAGGATAGTAGCTGTTCACGTGAACACTTTTGTCGTTCCAACTCTGCACGTCGACATGGAAATGTCAGACAATTTCCTGCTGCGCATCAGCTCCTCCAGGACACATTATCATATCACATATTTAATCGCCAGTAGAAACATTTTATTCATTAGATGCCTGGTCCAATTACCTTACCATTATGCTTATGAAATAGGGTTGACTGTCATTTTCTCTACTGGCCTGTTGAACAGGACGCATCCTGTCCTTTCTGAAGATAAACTTCTCACTTAAAGATTTACTCAGGTCGCTCTGAGGGATTTATATGCATAGCGACCCCACATTTCTTTCAATGTAAACTGTATTAGGTCCTCGTTGAGCTCTACAGTCGCATTTCTCTGACCTCGTTGCCAGTTTTGCACTATTTCCATTTAAGGGCTCATGCGGATCGAAAACTAGCTTTGTCCATTGCTCCTCTTTCCACATTCATGACAAATTACAAGTGCCGCGTGACACTTTCCCCCTTTATCACGGTCCTATGACACGAGGAATCCGTGCATCCTGTTAAATTTAGAATATTTAAAAAGACGACGCATTAAATTGAATTAAAGCAGTTGAAATTTGATTGATCATCAGATGTCTTTCGAAGCAGTTCACAGTAGTTCCACAACATTAGCAGTAGTTTCACAACATTCGAAATGCCTCATTCTATTGTCACCCAACGTTGGATTCACACTGAAAAAGATGACTGATCTTCGTTGGTAATGGACAACGGTAAAGATAGTCCTAAGTACCCTGTTGTTAGTCAATAATCATGACTGTGGTAGATACCTCTGGAGCCATTGTCCCCTATAGGACGATTTTATAGCGCAAAAGAGGCAAAGTCCGCAGATGAACATCCATGACGTATGCAAGCGATTAGGATGTACCGTGAATCAAGACTTTAATCCCTGCAATCATTTGATGTGAAAATAGTTTATGTATAACAGGTAATATTTAGCATTTGCCACTAGCATGAAATTTTATTTGCTTTGATGTCAGTGAAAGTTGGATGGATCCATCGACTTTCACGACTCATTCACTCCCGGCGTCAAAACATTGTTCCATATAGAGCTATTCCATTGCGAACTCGGCCGAGGAGGGGTAACACTGCGTCATGGTCCAACACATTTTTCCCTTATCAAAAAGATTGCTTGTTTTTGCGGCCGAAAATTGTACACTCTTGACAGTCCTTT